CGGGAGTGAGCCACCGCGGCAGTGGGGGTCCTGCTTGCTGGGGCCCTATAGCGCCCCCTGACGGCGGCTGGCTGTGCAGGGAGCGCCGTGGGAGGCCCCCGGGTGCCCCTTCGGGGCAGGGGCTCCAATACACGTTCTGTACCTGGCGCCGAATGTCCAAGGTGGAGGAGGGCGGGCTGTGTGTCGCGCGACAGAGGCTGGAGAGGTTAGATGGCCTGCGCCGAGCCCCTCTGCTGATCGGGGAGGGCTACCGCAGGGACCTCACCTTCCCACCGCCCGGCCCTGAGCCGCCTGCAAACCCCCTGGGGAACTGGGCTCACGGAGGGGACACAGCGCGTGTGAGAGGGTCCCCACCGGCCTGGTCGAGGAGCTGCCCCCCACCACGTTGCGCTGCCCTTCCTGCCCTTCCCCTGGCCCGAGTTTCCTGAAATATTGGAAAATGAAGCCAAGCGGCGCTCTCCCCCAGATGTTCTGGGGGTCGTCACTGTGCCAGGCGGGCGCATCCTGCGGGCTGCAGAGAGCACCATCATTGTATACTGTGGCTCTTTGCCTTGAGAAGTCCTCCTCCCCGCAAAGAAATCGCCATCCTCTGGCGATTGTTTGGGACACGGGCCAGAGGAGCAGCAGGGTCCCGGGGAGCTTGAGGAAACCCCTTCAGGGCAGAGCTGTCCCCTGAGGCATCGACCCCGGGACTGGTGAGGACCTCTCCTTCCAGTCCTGTTTCTGGAAATAAGCAGGAAAGCCCCTTACTCAGCCTGCACTCAGATCCAGTTTAAATGACCAAGCGTCTGCTGTATGCCAGAACTTTCCTCTCTGTCTCATGATTTGTTGTTTCCTCTCCCTTGGACGTTCACCCGACTCCCTACTCAACGGCCTGCTTCTCGGAGACGCCCTCCCTGACTGCTCCAGCTAAAATAGCCTGCGTCTCACGCCATCACTTTCCATCCCGGTGCTTAGCGCTCCTGAACTTGTACGTCTGCTCGCTTGTTTCCGGTCTGTCCCCCCTCACTGGGCAGGGGGCAGGGGGTTTCTCTGTCTTGGTCTTTGCCGTAGTCCGTGCCAGGAATGGAGACTGGTGCCCCAGAAAACTGGAAAGAATATATGAGTTTTATACAATTGCTTTCAAATGCCTTTTTGTTAATGTTTTATGCGTATCTCTCTGTATATATAAGTGTATGTATAAATAACTATGTATACACAATAATATAATATGTGAACTATATAATAGAATATATATAATGCACTGAGGTAAAGTGACATGAGAGATATATGCACATATCTCCCACTATATAGTGTGTATATGCATGTGTATATGTGTGTGCATATATATATATATATGGTAAAACCTTGGACTGCAAGTAACTTGTTCTGTGAGTATTCCACAATGTGAGCAAACATTTCTAATAAATTTTAACTTTATAAACCAGCAATGTCTTGCGGTACAAGTAGTACGTGATGCCTAACGTCACATGACCACAAGTGAGCCAATGGTTCTCTCTCTCTGTCTGTCTCTCTCCCTTTCTCTCTGTCTCTCTGTCTCTCACCGCAGGATTGTGGGTGATCGTCTCCCATGCTCAAATGCTCAGTCTCAGGCCATGGCGTTTGGCAGAAATCAGAGATTTTTCAGGATGTTGGAAAGTTCCCGCAACTGGGACTCGTGTATTTTTTGTCGCTTCTAAGCACCTAAGGACAGTCCTTTGCTTTTCCATACAAGAGTGAGCTTAGGAATGCTTTACTTCATTCTGGGTCATTGGCTAGGTTCCTTGTTAAAGTTGCACGAAAAGAAAAAGATTCCATTGAACCAACAAACAGCCGTGATTCCATCAGTGATAGTGAAAGTCGTCCTACACAATAACCCTCCTCTCTCTTGTCTCCCTCACACCAGCCACGAAGCTTTTCAAAGGGAAGTACAGGTTCATTTATTTTTTTCTTTGTATTTTGCATTTTCCTTATTTTGTTATATTATATCACAGTATTGTAATCATTCTTATATGAATATTTTTGGGTTGCGGAACGAATCATCTGAGTTTCCGTGATTTCTTATGGGGAAGTCCGGTTTGATATACAAGTGCTTTGGATTACAAGCATGTTTCCAGAACGAATTATGCTCGCAAACCAAAGTTTTACTGCATATATATATATATATACACACACACAATACATATTTTAAAAAAGAAAGAAGCTGGGTGGGGAGAGTGGAAATTTGTATTTAATCCTAGACACCAGTCTGTGGTGTATTAGCCCATTTAAAAAAATTTTTTTTTAAATGTTTTTATTGATTTTTGAGACAGAGAGACAGAGCATGAACAGGGGAGGGTCAGAGAGAGAGGGAGACACAGAATTGGAAACAGGCTCCAGGCTCTGAGCTATCAGGACAGAGCCCGATGCGGGGCTCAAACTCATGGACCGTGAGATCATAACCTGAGCTGA